CTGAGGCGTGCGGGGGTGAGTCTCTCCAGGGGCCATCCACTGTTGACTTCCCACGCAAGCCGTGAATCGAACCAGCAGAGCCAGCAGTCGTTAGGAAACACTCAAGAGTCGAGCGCGTGTGATGAATCAACGAGAATGTATTGTAAAGATAAGAGTGGATGTGCGATCTTTACTTAAGTCGCGAACTACACACAACGCGAGTACACAGCAAGCAAGCGGACAACACGCCTCATGCTCCACATATCCGTCCCTCCACAGGGATACAAAGCACAAGGACATTTCTAAACGCATCCCATCAGCCACACGGCCGTGTCGTCGCCTCCCTTCTGGATGATCACATCAACAGCATCAGTCCAACTCAAGCAAAACTCGACCGGTTTCTACATTCGGTGTCTCGTCAGCAGAGGCAGGCTTAGTCAATGCGCATGTGAACTGCCCCATGTCAGCAGAGGCAGGCTTAGTCAATGCCTGTGAACTGCCCCATGTCCGCAGAGGCAGGCTTAGTCACTGCCTGTGACCTGCCCCATGTCCACAGAGGCAGGCTTAGTCACTGCCTGTGACCTGCCCCATGTCCACAGAGGCAGGCTTAGTCACTGCCTGTGACCTGCCCCATGTCCACAGAGGCAGGCTTAGTCAATGCCTGTGAACTGCCCCATGTCAGCAGAGGCAGGCTTAGTCACAGCCTGTGAACTGCCCCATGTCCACAGAGGCAGGCTTAGTCAATGCCTGTGACCTGCCCCATGTCAGCAGAGGCAGGCTTAGTCACTGCCTGTGACCTGCCCCATGTCCACAGAGGCAGGCTTAGTCAATGCATGTGACCTGCCCCATGTCCGCAGAGGCAGGCTTAGTCACTGCATGTGACCTGTCCCATGTCCGCAGAGGCAGGCTTAGTCAATGCCTGTGACCTGACCCATGTCCGCAGGGGCAGGCTTAGTCAATGCCTGTGAACTGCCCCATGTTAGCAGAGACAGGCTTAGTCAATGCATGTGACCTGCCCCATGTCCACAGAGGCAGGCTTAGTCAATGCCTGTGACCTGCCCCATTTCAGCAGAGGCAGGCTTAGTCAATGCCTGTGACCTGCCCCATGTCAGCAGAGGCAGGCTTAGTCACTGCATGTGACCTGCCCCATGTCAGCAGAGACAGGCTTAGTCACTGCATGTGACCTGCTCCATGTCAGCAGAGGCAGGCTTAGTCACTGCCTGTGACCTGCCCCATGTCCACAGAGGCAGGCTTAGTCACTGCATGTGACCTGCCCCATGTCCACAGAGGCAGGCTTAGTCACTGCATGTGACCTGTCCCATGTCCGCAGAGGCAGGCTTAGTCAATGCCTGTGACTTGACCCATGTCCGCAGGAGCAGGCTTAGTCAATGCCTGTGAACTGTCCCATGTCCGCAGAGACAGGCTTAGTCAATTCATGTGACCTGCCCCATGTCCGCAGAGGCAGGCTTAGTCAATGCCTGTGACCTGCCCCATGTCAGCAGAGGCAGGCTTAGTCACTGCATGTGACCTGCCCCATGTCAGCAGAGGCAGGCTTAGTCACTGCATGTGACCTGCCCCATGTCCACAGAGGCAGGCTTAGTCACTGCATGTGACCTGCCCCATGTCCACAGAGGCAGGCTTAGTCAATGCCTGTGACCTGCCCCATGTCCGCAGAGGCAGGCTTAGTCACTGCATGTGACCTGTCCCATGTCCGAAGAGGCAGGCTTAGTCACTGCATGTGACCTGCCCCATGTCCACAGAGGCAGGCTTAGTCACTGCATGTGACCTGCCCCATGTCCACAGAGGCAGGCTTAGTCACTGCATGTGACCTGCCCCATGTCCACAGAGGCAGGCTTAGTCACTGCATGTGACCTGCCCCATGTCCGCAGAGGCAGGCTTAGTCACTGCATGTGACCTGCCCCATGTCCACAGAGGCAGGCTTAGTCACTGCATGTGACCTGCCCCATGTCAGCAGGGGCTTGCTGAAGTCAATGAATGTGAACTGCCCGATGTGCATCGGCGAGGAGCCGCCGTGTCGGCTCTTCTGAGTCCGACGCAAGCGGTGAGGGCGCACCCCCAGGTGGCGTGTGTAGCTAAAGACTGGACGTGGGGCAGCGGTGTGCAGGAGGCGCGCTGCCTGCCCCGCGATCCCGTGACCTTCACGACGGCGCGAGCGATGAGGGCAGCACAAAGACGCGACGAGCTACGACGACCACGGCGGGGGGGGGGCGGGGGGGGCGGGGGGGGGGGGCGGGGGGGGGGCGGGGGGGGCGGGGGGGGGGCGGGGGGGTGCGCTGCTGCCGCCCGGGGAGGGAGGGAGGGGGCAGGGAGTTTTGTATCAAAATTTGGCACGGCAAAGCCCACCGAGTCGAAACCGCCGAGGTTGGTAAACATTCACCGCTAAACCGGTAACCGCCGTCAGAAACGGTAACCAGTTATCGAGAGTCATGAGCCGATAGCCGGCTCCAGTGGGAATGCTCGGCGAGCACTGGGGCGGCCACGATGGGATGTCGCAGCGGCCGTGACGGCGGCGCGTGCCCTGGGGGTGGTGGCACCACCACCAGACATGCACACGGCGCGGGGACATCTACCGCCGTCTCTCAGTCACAAGGTGCAGGGGCATCCTTGTGACCGGCTTGCTCCACCGTCTCAGCTGCCGCGCCGGGAGGTGGCAGCGGCCTTCGTGTCTCAGCTACGGAACCCCACGGGACGTGGCTCGTGTTGCCGTTCTGGTCGTCCCTGTATGTGCCGCTCACTAACCGGTACGAACCGGTTTCTCACCATTTTTGCACGCGGTTACCGGTTACAAAAACATCGCCGATTTAACAACCCCAGTTGAGCCGCACGACACTTACACAGAGTTTGGGTGACGCTACACACACAGCACGTACACGCGTTTGCGTGCCGTAGGGGATCTCCACTCGGATCGGAGATCGCAACACGAGGAGCAGAGTTGAGCCCCAAATACGAAACAAGTTAATAACTACCATCATTTCAGCACCCCCCCCCCCCCTCAAACTTCACTTGGATTAAAGTCTCGTGTTTGTATGTCTCTTTGTTTAAACATACAGTGGCTGAGCACAGGGCCCCAATGCCCAGCCCGCCAAGCGGCCAGCAACAAGCAGCACTATCGGAGTGGTTAATATAGAATAGTGAACGCGTTTCTTGAGTTGAGCACGGTTACGATGGTGATCGGAGCCGAGGCGAGAGACACGACGACGACTGTCGAAGACTGTCGAGGAAATTCAAAAGTGGAGCAGTGCGAGGTGGCCTGCAGTTTGCCGAGTGAGTGGGTGGGTGGGTGAGTGGGTGGGTGGATGAGTGGGTGGATGAGTGGGTGGGTGAGTGAGTGAGTGGGTGAGTGGGTGGGTGAGTGAGTGGATGGGTGGGTGGATGAGTGGGTGGATGAGTGGGTGGATGAGTGGGTGGATGAGTGGGTGGATGAGTGGGTGGATGAGTGGGTGGGTGAGTGAGTGGATGGGTGAGTGGGTGAGTGGGTGGATGAGTGGGTGGGTGAGTGAGTGAGTGGGTGAGTGGGTGGGTGGGTGAGTGAGTGGATGGGTGGGTGGGTGAGTGGGTGGGTGGGTGGGTGAGTGGATGGGTGGGTGAGTGAGTGGGTGGGTGGGTGAGTGAGTGAGTGAGTGGGTGGGTGGGTGGGTGAGTGAGTGGATGGGTGGGTGGGTTGGTGAGTGGGTGGGTGAGTGGATGGGTGGGTGGGTGAGTGGGTGGATTTAGTGGGTGGGTGAGTGAGTGAGTGGGTGGGTGGGTGAGTGAGTGGATGGGTGAGTGGGTGGATGAGTGGGTGGGTGAGTGAGTGGGTGAGTGGGTGGGTGGGTGAGTGGGTGGGTGGGTGGGTGGGTGAGTGAGTGAGTGAGTGGGTGGGTGGGTGAGTGAGTGAGTGGGTGGGTGAGTGAGTGAGTGGGTGAGTGAGTGGGTGGGTGAGTGAGTGGGTGGGTGAGTAGGTGGGTGGGTGAGTGAGTTAGTGGGTGGGTGAGTGATGTGGGTGGGTGAGTGGGTGTGTGGGTGGATGAGTGGATCGGTGCGTGGGTGGGTGGGTGAGTGGGTGGGTGAGTGGGTGGGTGGGTGTATGGGTGGGTGGATGGGTGGGTGGGTGAGTGAGTGGGCAAGTGAGTGGGTGGGTGGGTGAGTGAGTGAGTGGGTGGGTGGGTGGGTGAGTGGGTGAGTGGGTGGGTGGGTGAGTGGGTGGGTGGGTGAGTGGGTGGATGGGTGAGTGGGTGGGTGAGTGAGTGAGTGGGTGAGTGAATAAGGAGAGAACTTACTTCTGCTGAATGGCTCTAGTGAATCAGTGAGCAGTTACCTTGAACAGTAAACATGGTAGTAGAGGGTGATTGCTACATTGGATAAACGAAACGTCAAGTTTCTGATCGTGTCCGCGAGCACAAGTCAGATCTGAAACACGGCAGAACTGATTCTTCGGCTGTTGCCGATCATTGCTACAACTCTGTGGGCTCTCATGAAATTGTCTTTTCCGAGACCAAGGTGCTCTGCAAACCTCCTGGCTACCATCAAAGATTTGTACACGAAGCCATACAAATATACAAACACAGACATAATTTCAACCGTGATGAGGGTTACAAACTGAGTAATCATTGGAAAGATGTGATTAACCATGCAAAAAAGATGTAACTACACTTATTTGGACCATCTTATTTGACAGACAACTATTACAGGTTATTGATAAATAGCCAGTTTGTTGTTTTACCAGTTTTAGTTTTTACTTGCTTTCTTTTTTCACACTTTTGTTATGTATGCTAGGTGTTAGTTACAAACCGCACCTCTCCATAACAAAGGCTCAGTCCTTTGTTATGCAGTCTATTCTTAGTCTTAAGCCTCACCTTACCATATTAATAAAAAGTGTGCCGTTCCTGGCCCTTCCCCCCTCAACCATTATATATACGGGGTGGTATTTCTTGTGATCTCTCATTTACTTGATACAGCTGTCGTGGCTGTGACGATTCCACCTGAAGACGGAGGCTTGTGTTGCTTCCAAAACGTCGTGAATTTTTGATTTTGTTTTATTTTACTTTTATTAATTTAAATGTTTTACCTACGTGACTTTACCGAAAAAACCTAAGAATATGGTAGTAGCGATAAAAGAGTGATATGCAGATGAGTGAGTAGGTGAGTAAATGTATGAGTGGGTGACGAAGGGGTGAGGGAGTGTTTCAGTGGGCGAGTGGTAGTCTGGTCGTCCGAGTCCTCGACAATGGTGGGGGAATTGATGTGTGAAGTCCACGTGTAGTAGCTATAGCAGAGTGATGTGGAGGTGAGTGAGTAGGTGATCGAGTGAGTGTAGCCAGGCATGAGTGGGGTGCTGGTGATGATGAGGATGATGATGCGGGGGATGAATCTGGCTCCACCGTGCCACCATCACCACCGCCCGCGGGGCCCTCCTAGCCGGCGCCGTTGTGTTGCCTGCTGTGCGTGAAGAGCGACGCGATCCAAGGAGAGACGGAGCGTGGCAGCGTGGAGCGGGAATGCGCCGAGTGGGCCACGAGCGAGTAGAAGCGAGCGTCGAGGCTCCCCGCGCCCCCCCCAGAGTGGACGGCGCCCCCCGGCACGCAGCGGTTGTGCTGCACACGCGGCACACGCGGGGAGAGGGGGGAGACTCCACAGGAGACTTGGACGGCATCTACAACACCTTGGAAGAGCACCCCCGGTGGCAGCTGGCCCTGTGTGGCACGAGGTGTCATCCCGACTGAGGAACTTGCAGCGTAATTCCCGCAAATTTGGGCCCATGACGCCGGCACACAATTGCCAACCTGTTTCGAATGACGCCACGGGATCGTTAACATCCACCGAGAGTGAAGCAGACGGCGTGAAGTAATGTATGGTTAATGTAGTTGTCCCATGGATAAATGTGCCCCGGCCATGGGAATGTGGAATTTATACCAGTGGCTCTGCGCGGCTGTAAACGGGAGGCGAGCACCGATGCCTCGCTGCTCGTCGCGTGAGCCGCGGGAGAATCCCTCTCGCCCCCCCCCCCCCCTCCTGCGGCAATCAACACCGCAGCCTCTGCGGACATCAGCGCTGTGCGTGTGCCGACACAGATCGCTCAGACGCACACAGAGATCCCGTGTCGCCTACACAAGCTGTTGGGGCAAGTTCTGTTGGCGAACACCTATTACGGCCGGCACGGCACACGGGGGGTTGGGTGTACCCACACTTTACCCCACCGCACACTGCACCAGATACCCATTTCGACCGAGGCGAGGTCCAGGACCGGTTCAGATATTCGTCGCTGATGTTGGCTGTTGTCAGGAACAGATCTCGGGTCGCTGGGTTCGTAGCGCGATGGGCTAACCACTGGGTCGCCTTTCCCACACACGCACGCACGCTGGGCTATCACTCTGCCCTGAGTGCGACATGAATGCGCACATTAGCTGAAATGGCATTGGGGGGAATGAGAGGAGGGGTGCAGGAATTATGGGACGGTGATTTTACTGAGCGTGGGTCGTCTCCTAAATCTCGTAGCGCCCTGACGCGGCCACCACGAACATCGCGAGAGACGCCCTCAGGAGCACGGCCAGCGACCACCGGGAGCGCCGCAAGAGAGAATCGCCCTGCCGCTCCTGGAGATCATCACCCTGCCGCTCTAGAGATCATCACCCTGCCGCTCTAGAGATCATCACCCTGCCACTCTAGAAATCATCACCCTGCCACTCTAGAGATCATCACCCTGCCACTCTAGAGATCATCACCCTGCCGCTCTAGAGACCATCACCCTGCCACTCTAGAGATCATCACCCTGCCGCTCTAGAGATCATCACCCTGCCACTCTAGAGATCATCACCCTGCCGCTCTAGAGATCATCACCCTGCCACTCTAGAGACCATCACCCTGCCACTCTAGAGATCATCACCCTGCCGCTCTAGAGATCATCACCCTGCCACTCTAGAGACCATCACCCTGCCACTCTAGAGATCATCACCCTGCCGCTCTAGAGATCATCACCCTGCCACTCTAGAGATCATCACCCTGCCGCTCTAGAGATCATCACCCTGCCACTCTAGAGACCATCACCCTGCCACTCTAGAGATCATCACCCTGCCACTCTAGAGACCATCACCCTGCCGCTCTAGAGACCATCACCCTGCCACTCTAGAGACCATCACCCTGCCGCTCTAGAGACCATCACCCTGCCGCTCTAGAGATCATCACCCTGCCACTCTAGAGACCATCACCCTGCCGCTCTAGAGACCATCACCCTGCCACTCTAGAGATCATCACCCTGCCACTCTAGAGACCATCACCCTGCCGCTCTAGAGACCATCACCCTGCCGCTCTAGAGATCATCACCCTGCCACTCTAGAGACCATCACCCTGCCGCTCTAGAGACCATCACCCTGCCACTCTAGAGACCATCACCCTGCCGCTCTAGAGACCATCACCCTGCCGCTCTAGAGATCATCACCCTGCCACTCTAGAGACCATCACCCTGCCGCTCTAGAGACCATCACCCTGCCGCTCTAGAGATCATCACCCTGCCACTCTAGAGACCATCACCCTGCCACTCTAGAGACCATCACCCTGCCACTCTAGAGATCATCACCCTGCCGCTCTAGAGACCATCACCCTGCCGCTCTAGAGACCATCACCCTGCCACTCTAGAGACCATCACCCTGCCGCTCTAGAGACCATCACCCTGCCGCTCTAGAGATCATCACCCTGCCACTCTGGAGATCATCACCCTGCCACTCTAGAGATCATCACCCTGCCACTCTAGAGACCATCACCCTGCCGCTCTAGAGATCATCACCCTGCCACTCTAGAGATCATCACCCTGCCACTCGAGAGACCATCACCCTGCCACTCTAGAGACCATCACCCTGCCGCTCTAGAGACCATCACCCTGCCGCTCTAGAGACCATCACCCTGCCACTCTAGAGACCATCACCCTGCCACTCTAGAGACCATCACCCTGCCGCTCTAGAGATCATCACCCTGCCGCTCTAGAGACCATCACCCTGCCACTCTAGAGACCATCACCCTGCCACTCTAGAGATCATCACCCTGCCACTCTAGAGATCATCACCCTGCCGCTCCTGGAGACCATCACCCTGCCGCTCTAGAGATCATCACCCTGCCGCTCTAGAGATCATCACCCTGACGCTCCTGGAGACCATCACCCTGCCGCTCTAGAGATCATCACCCTGCCACTCTAGAGACCATCACCCTGCCGCTCTAGAGACCATCACCCTGCCGCTCTAGAGACCATCACCCTGCCACTCTAGAGACCATCACCCTGCCACTCTAGAGATCATCACCCTGCCACTCTAGAGACCATCACCCTGCCGCTCTAGAGACCATCACCCTGCCACTCTAGAGACCATCACCCTGCCGCTCTAGAGACCATCACCCTGCCGCTCTAGAGACCATCACCCTGCCGCTCTAGAGACCATCACCCTGCCGCTCTAGAGACCATCACCCTGCCACTCTAGAGATCATCACCCTGCCGCTCTAGAGACCATCACCCTGCCGCTCCTGGAGACCATCACCCTGCCACTCTTGAGACCATCACCCTGCCACTCTAGAGACCATCACCCTGCCACTCTAGAGACCATCACCCTGCCACTCTAGAGACCATCACCCTGCCGCTCTAGAGACCATCACCCTGCCACTCTAGAGACCATCACCCTGCCGCTCTAGAGACCATCACCCTGCCGCTCTAGAGACCATCACCCTGCCGCTCTAGAGACCATCACCCTGCTACTCTAGAGACCATCACCCTGCCGCTCTAGAGATCATCACCCTGCCACTCTAGAGACCATCACCCTGCCGCTCTAGAGACCATCACCCTGCCGCTCTAGAGACCATCACCCTGCCACTCTAGAGACCATCACCCTGCCACTCTAACGATCATCACCCTGCCACTCTAGAGATCATCACCCTGCCGCTCCTGGAGACCATCACCCTGCCACTCTAGAGATCATCACCCTGCCGCTCTAGAGACCATCACCCTGCCGCTCCTGGAGACCATCACCCTGCCACTCTAGAGATCATCACCCTGCCACTCTAGAGATCATCACCCTGCCGCTCCTGGAGACCATCACCCTGCCACTCTAGAGATCATCACCCTGCCACTCTAGAGATCATCACCCTGCCACTCTAGAGATCATCACCCTGCCACTCTAGAGATCATCACCCTGCCACTCTAGAGATCATCACCCTGCCGCTCCTGGAGACCATCACCCTGCCACTCTAACGATCATCACCCTGCCACTCTAGAGACCATCACCCTGCCACTCTAGAGATCATCACCCTGCCACTCTAGAGATCATCACCCTGCCGCTCCTGGAGACCATCACCCTGCCGCTCTAGAGATCATCACCCTGCCGCTCTAGAGATCATCACCCTGACGCTCCTGGAGACCATCACCCTGCCGCTCTAGAGATCATCACCCTGCCACTCTAGAGACCATCACCCTGCCGCTCTAGAGACCATCACCCTGCCGCTCTAGAGACCATCACCCTGCCACTCTAGAGACCATCACCCTGCCACTCTAGAGATCATCACCCTGCCACTCTAGAGACCATCACCCTGCCGCTCTAGAGACCATCACCCTGCCACTCTAGAGACCATCACCCTGCCGCTCTAGAGACCATCACCCTGCCGCTCTAGAGACCATCACCCTGCCGCTCTAGAGACCATCACCCTGCCGCTCTAGAGACCATCACCCTGCCACTCTAGAGATCATCACCCTGCCGCTCTAGAGACCATCACCCTGCCGCTCCTGGAGACCATCACCCTGCCACTCTTGAGACCATCACCCTGCCACTCTAGAGACCATCACCCTGCCACTCTAGAGACCATCACCCTGCCACTCTAGAGACCATCACCCTGCCACTCTAGAGATCATCACCCTGCCGCTCTAGAGACCATCACCCTGCCGCTCTAGAGACCATCACCCTGCCACTCTAGAGACCATCACCCTGCCGCTCTAGAGACCATCACCCTGCCGCTCTAGAGATCATCACCCTGCCACTCTGGAGATCATCACCCTGCCACTCTAGAGATCATCACCCTGCCACTCTAGAGACCATCACCCTGCCGCTCTAGAGATCATCACCCTGCCACTCTAGAGATCATCACCCTGCCACTCGAGAGATCATCACCCTGCCACTCTAGAGACCATCACCCTGCCACTCTAGAGATCATCACCCTGCCACTCTAGAGACCATCACCCTGCCGCTCTAGAGACCATCACCCTGCCGCTCTAGAGATCATCACCCTGCCGCTCTAGAGATCATCACCCTGCCGCTCTAGAGACCATCACCCTGCCACTCTAGAGACCATCACCCTGCCGCTCTAGAGACCATCACCCTGCCGCTCTAGAGACCATCACCCTGCCGCTCTAGAGACCATCACCCTGCCGCTCTAGAGACCATCACCCTGCCACTCTAGAGACCATCACCCTGCCACTCTAGAGATCATCACCCTGCCGCTCTAGAGACCATCACCCTGCCGCTCCTGGAGACCATCACCCTGCCACTCTTGAGACCATCACCCTGCCACTCTAGAGACCATCACCCTGCCACTCTAGAGACCATCACCCTGCCACTCTAGAGACCAT